CGGCGCTGCTAGCCCGCCTGGTCGCCGATCGCTGCTCGCCCGCCCGCCCGCCGCCCGGCCTCTGGCTCTCCCGGGCGCCCGCCGCGGCCGCTCGCTTTTTTAATGTCCACAGACAGTGAAAAGGAACTCGGCGTTAGGGGGTGAGTAAGTGAATCAACTCGCCCCGAGCCGAGCAAGTTGAAGTGTCAGATTACATTGGCTATTCTATTTCCAAAGGGCCCCGCGCCGCCGGCCGCACGCAAAAGCCGGCGCGGAACACTGCCGGAGCGGAGCGCAGAGCCGCCGCCAGCGCTCTCCTCGCTCTCCCTGCGCTCTCGCCGCGCTCTTTCTTTCCCTTCCTTTCCGCCTCTCCCGGTCTTTCCTCGCTTTCTTCCTTACTCCCTTGGCTCAGCGCTCTACAAGCTTTTCCTCACTTGGCATTGACGGCTTCTTATCAACCCCCCCTGCGGCTCGTCCACTCGTCCCCCTGTTCTTCCCCCCGCCTCTGCTTGCGCACGCCCCCCAAATCCCGGCCCCAGTAAGTTTGGAGAAGAGAAATTTTGAGACTAGGAAGGGATTACGTTGAGGAAGACTCCAAAGTCCCCCGCTCACCAGACGCATCCCCACCCCTGCGCGCGCACTCGCACGCCCCCGCCTGGAGTGCACCCCGACCCGCGGGCGCTGTCTGGTACCTGAACTGGGATAAGCGAGTTGCTAACAAGACCTCCAAAGCCTTCCCTGGAGGAGACTTTGGGTTAGTTCCTAACGTCCGGGGCCTCAGGGTGGGAAGAGGATCACCGCTGAGGGCAACAAGAGGCAGGAGTGCGCTCCCCTCGACGGCTAGAAGGAGCTGGGTGCACTGCGCGCTGCAAACGCCGACACCCGAATCGGTCCCGGATGCGTGGGTGTCCGAGGTCTCTAAGGCAGCGCCTGGAGCGTCGTGCGCACTGGCGAGGTGAGGGCGGCAGACCCGGCCCCGACCTCGACCCGGGCCTGGGCCCTTCTGCAGGGGTGGCAAGGAGCCGAGGCAGTCCCGAATTGCAGCTGGGCGCGCCCACTAGCGGGGTTCCCTTCGCGGCCCGCCCCCGAGAGCATCCTAGTGCGCGCCCAGTCTGGCTCACGTCCACAGCCACACGCACAGGAACTCATACACACGGCACACACATTCGCGCCCACCTTCAGATCTGCAAACACGCTACTTCCCGCACACAAATGCGCTCGTACTCACTTTCCCCCACAAACACGCCCGCGCAGACTGTCAGAGTGAGCACTCAGACACGCAGCTGTACACACACACTTGCAAACATCGCTGCACACAACCCCACATACACTCAAAAAAAAAAAAAAACCACTCCCTGTGCACGATATCTCACGTTCATATACACACACAGACACACTTGCCCCCTCATACATCGCTTCCACACCCCTTCCTCGGGACACCCCACCCTTGATGGGAGGCACTTCCATTCCCCTGCGTAATCATTGCCCAGGTTGGACACACACGCGCGCACGCTCGCGCTCCCCTCCCGGCGGGGAAGGTTGGGCCTGAAGCCCGCTTCGCCATCCAGGTGTAGAAGTAGTTCCGCGCTCCGCGTTTTGCAGGCCGCCGCGGTGTCGGAGGCGAGGCGAGGAAGGGAGCTGGAATAACAAAGGCAAGTTGGGGAGAGCGCAAGGGGGCGCAGCCCCGGCCGGGCCGCGGGGGGAGCCCTGCACCGCCGGGGCGTCGGAGGCTGCAGGGTCGCGGGCGCCGGGAGCCGGAGGTGGGGAGGAAAGGTGGGGGGGTGAGGGGCGGGGCCGACGCGTGACGTCAGAGAACAATGACACCGCTGGGGGGCGGGCACGGAGAGGCGGCAAGGGCGGGAGTCTCCCTCCGGGCCCGGCGGGCGGAAGAAGTCCTGGCCGCTGCCTGATTGACGAGGTCCGCATGGGAGCGCCGACGTGCCACGCAGACTCGCGGGCTGCAGGGGCCTCGTGGGCGGTGATCCGAGTGCGCCTGGAGCCAGCTGAGGGGGTGGGGGCGTGGAAGGCTGGAGTCCTCCCGCCAGCACAGACCCCTATTTTAGAACATCCTTCAGAGGGCCGCTCTGACCTCCGCTTGAACTCCTTCAGGGCTGGAGAGATCACTCCTTCCACCACCGGGAGAGAGGAGGCAACATGAATTCATTCCCAAGGCTCTGGTAGTCTGACAGCCGGTGAACTCAGCCTGGAATTCCTGAGGGCTCGGAGCCTGCAGCTCGGGGCCCCAGGGACGTGATGTGTCTGTGTGCGTGTGCAGAACCTGTTTGATTTTCCCAGGGGAAGCTCTGCCTTCTCCTGCCACTGGGCACGAGGGAAGGTGCTCCTTTCCAGCCTCCCCTGCCTCCCGATCTGCCTCACATGGAATGGACTGTTACCACCGCTGCTGCTCCCCACCCACCCACAGGTGGCAGCTGAGTATCTCTGGGGAGAGTGGGTGGTATATGCAATCACTTCCTGACCTCCGGGGACACCGGGAGACACAGTCCCAGCAAATTCCTGTGGGAGGGAGTCCCTGCTTCTTCTCAGCCTGTGGGTGGCCCAAGTTCACAGGTGGCTGGAGGGCAGCCTGAGAAAGCCCTGAAGGCCTGACTTGTGAGGTGGGAATTCAGCTTGCTGCCTGGTGGCTGGACCTAGAGCTCTCCCAGGCCCGGCGTCTTACCCCCTCGCAGGGAACAGAAAGCCACCCCACCCCCAGGGCCAAATTCCCACAGTGGAGTTTCCAAGGACTTACAGACTTGGGATGCAGGAAACCAGCCCCAGACGGCAAATGGGCCCTGATGATACCAAGTCAGGACACCTGGCTTTTCAGCCTTCTGTCCAAATTCCTCTCAGTGAGTAGCAGGAGCTGGCTATCTCCAGGAAGTAGAGGAATGCAGGTGACCTTAGGGTGACCACTCATGTTCAAAAAGCTCCTGTCCAGAAGCTTCTGGCCAGAGTTTATACCTGGGGAATCCGGAAGTGACCATAGAGGAGCCAAGCAGAACCAAGCCTTAGCAGAACCAGAGCCAGAGGTGAGGTCCAGGTGCACTCAGGTCTTTGCTGCCATGCACCTGCGGCCCGAAGCCCAGCTCCACATCTGCCTCCATGGATTCCGTGTGGCCTAAACAACTGGTTGACCTCTGCCAGTGATGTCTTTCCTGAGGCCTGTGTGTCTCAAGGCCCCAGTCTCTCTGCCTCTGCTTGTCTGCTGCATAAAGTTTGGAGTGAGGCAATGATAACAGTGCCATCGTGCCCTGGGACATGGAATCATCTTCCTTCTTCTTCTTCCAGGGCTGGCCAGGCGTCACCTGGATCTGGAGGCAGCTTTGGAGCCATTGTTGGGGTGCAGACTGCATGGGCCCAAGTCTGCAGGGCTCTTGCAGGGTCTTGGCTTGCACCCACCTTCACCCACAGGTTGGGGTGCTGTTCACTTCCTTTCCCTGGGAGCCATCTCCAGAACAAAGAGCCCATGGTCAGGAACAGGACCCTGGTCTCAGGAGGCCAAAGTCATAGGCTCAGGAGTGGGAGGCTCAGGGCCCTGGGCACCGAGGCCGTCTGCAGGGTGCAGTGAGTGTGGCCAGCTGTGCCGGGAGGCCCTTAGCAGGCTGGGAGATAAGGACAGGTGCATGTGCAGCCAGTTCCTTCTCCCAAGCACAACTTTCTCTGAACCCCTACCCCTTACCCCCGATGGTCCTTCCCCAGGCCAGGTGTCACTGAAGCTGCAGGGAGATGTGCAGAGGCTCCATGACTTGCTATTGATATCCTAGCTGCCAGGTGGGAGGTGGGAAAGCCCGGCACTGGGCTTTGGGTCTCGATGTTCTTGGGGGTAGAAAATGGGGGTTTTGCCCTCACTTTTTTCTTTTCTTTTTTTTTTTTTTTTTTTTTTTTTTTTTTTTTTTTTTATATATATATATATATATATATATATATATATATATATATATTGTATTTAGTACAGGGTCTCACTATGTAGATTGGACTTGTAGTGATCCTCCTGTTTTCAGCCTCCCAAACGCTGGGATTACAGGTGCCCACCACCACACCCAGTCTCATTCACCTCTCAGTGTACCACTGGGATTGGGGCTGGCGTGGCATGCTGGGGATCAAACCCTGGCCACTGCGCTCTGCCTAAGCAGGTGCTTTAGTCCGCTGAGCTATTTGGCCGGCCCCATTGCCCTCATCTTATTGCCAGCTGTGGTAGAGATGAGGTGGCCTGTGGGTTCCTTGGCATAAAGACCATTGCCCATCTGCCAGGGAAGTTGGGGGCCCTTCCCACGGCCGTGATGTGACAGAATGCATCGAGCCTTCACCCCTCACGGGATCTGGGAGGCACTGGGCACTGCACAGCTCTGAGCCTCTCCGAGGTGGGTGGTAAAGGCAGGGCTGTGTCCTTGTTTGCTGGGCTTCTGGCTCTGCCTCTTCCTCCTCCTCTTGTTCCAGGATTACCCCGCCATCTCTATATCCACCACTTGGCCTTGACTGTCCAGGTCCCTCCTCCTGGGCCAGTGTCTTGCTCTCCACCAAGGAGCTCCACTCTTCCTGTTCCTGGTTCCACACCCCGCTCGCCCCCCCCTCCTGTAGGGAGACCCTGGGAATAGACTGAGCCCCCCCACCTCAGCCTGGGGACAGCTAGGTCCCTGACCCACCATGCCTTGCCCTGTTCTATGGCCTGAGCGCATCACAGCCTCCCTGTGCTTCTGTTTCCCCCTCTGCCTAGTTCAAAAGCTTGAGAACCAAGGGTGAGCAGTGTAGAACTGCCCGGTGGCGCTGCAGCTCTGAACATCCTGCAGCCTTTCACCTTTGGGTTGACCTATATAGTTCACTTTAGGTTTGGGGGGTTCTGCTTCAGGGAGCACTTCCATAGGGGTGCCTTCAGTGGAGTACAGGCAGGAAACTGCCAGGGATAGCAAGGAGCTGC